ATAATTTTTAACTGTCTCATTTAAAATAACAGCGTGTTCTCATTCTCTCCCCTTCTGCTCCTCCAGTCTCTGTGTGTCTTTGCACTGATGCCACGTTCTTCTTCTTCATGTATTTTTTTATTTATTTTTTTTGCTAGATGGCAAACAGCTAATATTGCATTTATGTCACCAGTTTCAAGATTTCCGCGGGTCATTAAAATTCATTAAAAGTCATTAAATAATTAGTCTTTTTTAATTAAGGCCTTAATTGACATTAGAATTAATTTATTGTTATCATGGCATTTGAAAAAAGTTTTGCCTGCTATATATTCGTCTATATACATATCTATATAGATATATGTGTGAGAGTCATGGGTTCTTGTTGATGGTATTAAAAAGCATTAAATTGGAGTTACTCATTTCTGTATAAACCCTTAATTTCTATAGAGTGTGGAACTAAATTTCTAGGTTATACGTAATTTTTCTTTACTGGTTTTTGTTAAAAAGTCTCTTTAAAACTCTTTAAATCCCCACGTTTCTTCCCCCCTGCTATCCCATCTCTCTGCGCTGCTTTGACAGACAACCAAAGAAAAAAAGAAATAATTGTAGGTATTCAGAATCTCCTGCAGCTGGATGACATGAGGCGTGCAAATTAGGCGATGACATCATCCAGCGCCTTTTGGGACAGCCAATAGCGACTTTTTTTGCTGAGGAATTGACATCACTGCTCATTATTACCTCCAAACTTTTAGGGAAATGGGATTTAAAGAGGCGTGGTCACAGTATGCCCATAGAAAAAGGATTTAAGACCATTTAATCCTGATAAATTAAGGTTTTATACGTTCTAATTGTGTTTAGATGCTCCTTTTCTAGCATCAGTAACTCAGATCTTAACGCCTCGGCAGCTCCATCTCCTCTACAATGAACATCCGGCGCCATTCCAGTCCTTTACCTCTTGGAATCTAATATTTTATTTCTGTTTCTTCACGCTGAACCATCAAGGTTTCTTCATTGTTTTTACACCTCTGCTGGAAGGAGCGTACAAGATGAACCCTCTGCTTCCTTATTTATCTTCTGTGCACATGCACTGTTGTTATAGTGAATTTACAAAAAAGGTTTTTATTTACAAGCAAAAGAAAAACAAATAATAAGCCAGCAGGAATCGGGGCAGGTATCCATGTCGGTGGCGATTAAGTTAAAAATATGAAAATGTGACTGTGCTCTGTTGAACAGGAATGATTTTTGTTTAGTCTGTCGTTGGTTTGAGGCTGAACTGTTTCATGAAAGCAGAACAGATTTTAGCCTCACAGGCAACATTTTCTGAATTATTAGCTCTGCTGTAAAAGCCCAGAGCTCCCCCTCCCCCTATATTAATCAAAATGAAGCTCAGAGAAGCAGAAATGTGATAAAAGCAGAAAGAAAGGTTGAAGTTAATCTGTTCCTGCACTCTGATGAGTTTAGAGATTCTTCCTGTTCGGCTGCAGAAGAAGCTCTGATTCTAGTGAACATAAGAAGAAGAGTAGAGAACTGAAGCCTGATAAAAAATAAAACTGGATCTTCTTGTTTGCAGACGCTGAGTCGGAGCCTCTGAACAAGAAGATGCGAGTGTCTTCTGAAGACAGTCTGGAGACGCCGCAGTTCTCCGTCGTCACCAGTAAGACGTTTGTTTTTGTTTTTTTTTATGTTGGTGCTTCTTTACAGAAAGAATTCAGGATTTTAATTCTAAACATAAAGTTTTTTTAAACATCAGCATCAATCGTTTCATTTTTTTTCAACCTTTACGATTTTCAACCTGATGCAAACGTTTTTAAAAAGCCTTTTTTTTTTATTTCTCCGTTAGTGTCTGAGAGCGACGACAGCTTCGAGGTGACGATGACGGCCACGGCAGAGGGCGACCTCCCCGAGGAAGGGGTCACCGAGATCGAGGTAGATGTGGTAGATATGCTGCATTCAGAGTATAAAAAACTAGGGATGCACGATATAATGGGCCCC